ATCAGCAATCTTGCGACTGAGGTAAACCTTTCGCGGAACATCGGTTCGCACAACGCCCAGAACAGAGACTTCAAAGTCGTCGATGTACTCTTCCATCACGAAAAACTCCTCATCGGGGTTTGTTAGCCGGATCGGGCCTTTGAAACCCATATATGAGAAGGATCGAATGATCTCTCCCTTCTGAACTGTACTGCGCGATCCTGCGAAGTAGTCAATCGTGAATTTGAATGGGACAGCAAGGTAGTCGTTCCAACGATGCTGGGTTCGTCGATGGACATCTGCATGTAGCTCTTCATAATTGGTGCCTTCGCCCCATAGCTCGAATATATCCTTGACCAGGATACTACGCTTGGCAACTGCCCGCGCTGCAGCTTCGTCTGGCAGTCTTACTACACAGTATGGTGACTAGGTATGTCAGTCAGGTTTCTGCAAATTAAAGATGATCATGCAGATAGAGAGTGGGGGATTGTCATCATCGTAGATCAATGTTCATGAAATGGATTTTGAACATATCCGATATTGATGAGAAGGGTATCATACATATTCATTGTAGGTGATGATTTCGATGTCCACGCCGGCGAGTGTTGCACAGGCTTGGAGTTCCGGCAGTCGGAAAGTCTCATGGAGTTGGGCGAACCGGACCAGATAATCCATGGCTAGCAAGACGAATATCTGTCTGGTTTTTTCTTGAGGATTTCTCTTCAGTGGGAGTTCATGTACTTCGTTGCTGCTTTCAAGGCGGGGTGTTGCGGGTTGAGATTTTTTTTTTTTTCGGGTCATCAGAAATATACTCCACGGAGACTGAGTGTGTCCAGCCAGGTATGGAGTTATATCTCCAACAAACAAACAATTGTATTTTCTAACATTGAAATACTAGATCTAGCGAAAATTAAGCCATGCACCCTTGGAATATGTTTAAAATGATTTAAATGATTTAATTACAAAGGGCTGTAAAGTTAAACAAGATAATTGAATAGCATCAAGAAAAGATAATGAAACGATTGATTGAACTACAGATGAAACCCGGAATCTACCCAGGTGTGATACAATCGCACAAAAAATAAAAAGACTTAAGTCTACCTAAGATATATCATCACATCTAGCTATGAACAGAAACCCGAAGATACGCCATCCCTTATGACAGAAGTAAGAAAAACTCCGCCCCTATGCACCGACTACCTTGAAAACGTGTCGTGATTCATATCCCTCCACCGAGGTAATATCAACTTTCTCATCCCCTGGTATCATATGATGTTGCAGATCCCAACCGGCCCGACGAGAAAGTTCTGATACCACCACATCACAGTCACCCAAGAGATCAATATCGAACTCGGTATGTGATACCGGCTACACGCCACAGTTAGTATGATACAGTGCTAATGTTTTTCAGTATGACTTACAGTGCGCGATATGTAGATCTGCGGGACGTTGCGAGGTAGGATCCCCGGTACTTCAGCTACGGGGGCTACCTTCAACGAGGTTCCGATCACAATGACTAGGTCTGCTAGTTCCCGATCTTGGTGAATTAGACGTTCACCAAACTCATCGGGCAGATCCTCGCCAAAGAAAGTGATATCAGGCTGTAATGTGTGTAAGTATGGAAGAAAGCAAGCAAGGTACCGAACAGTCACTGACCTTCATCACTCCTGGGGTCGGGATTTCATAGTCATCCTCATCCGAACTGTCGTCAGAGACCTTGCGGTCTTTCTGTTGACCATTGGAACTTCGTTTGCGCTTAAGACCTTGCGGTTTTAGTTCTTCTTCTGCGATTCTCTCCTTGCAGGCGGTGCAGTGGGGGACGTTTCCCGCCCTGATTTCATCGAAGATCGCGTCGCCAGGGACATTGAACCCACACTTTACGCAGGTGGCCGTCGCAAAGGATCCATGACATTGTACAATTTTCTCCGGGAGTACCCCAGCATTTGCTTCAATGTTATCGATATTCTGCGTGTAGTTGGTCAACAGCTTTCCCTTGTCTTGTAGAAGCCGAATGAACGCATGGGTGGGGGACCATTTCTTTTCCGTCGGGAGGATATCCTTGGCAATAGAAAAGAAAATGTTCGGGTCCTCCCTGAAGACATGGATATCGAAGACTTCTTGTGGATCGCTCAGGCCCAGGTGCGCCAGTTTTGAATAGAGCCCGGTATCTTTAGAACGGAAATCGGGAATGCCCAGACTTGTCGAGATCTGATGAACACCCGTTAGCACTTATGGGTCAGGGATATTGGGAATAAACTTCAATATGAACATACACCTGCACCTGTCAGAACGATGATGTTCCGAGACTCGCGAAGGAGCCGAACAGCATCGTCGATGGTGTTGTACTGGGGAAGCTTAGGCCTCCGGGAGAACTCGCGCGAGATCGCGACCGCCAGAAGAGAATGATAAGACTCATCTGGTGCACCATCGAGGAATGCCGGGGGCGCGATTCCAAACGCCGTGCATAGCTTTTTGGCCGTGACGGTTTCGCGGAGGATGGTCTCTTCCACGAATGCCGCCTTACCAATCGCATGTAGACGCTGTCGATATGCAGTCGCCTCTTCTAGAGTACAGGCACCGGGAACTGCGACGGAAAAGCGAGCGTATTAGCCAATGTTCGATCTGATCTCCGAGAGCGGGGGTGTCCGGGGTAAGAGGTGAAGGTGGATATAGTTACATACCGAGGCCGTCGCGGATCTGGTCATCGCGTAGGAACTGGATCGCCTCATCGCAATTAGACAGATTATCCCATCCATCGGAATCATCACTGTCTGTCTCCAAGTCGGACGAGATCTCAAGTGCGAGGTCCGGCGCGTCGTCTTCCATGTCGTACTGTTCCTCCATATCCACGGCCTCCACTTCGACCACGGTGGTCTTTAGCGAAGTCTCTCCTTTTGGGGCTGGTACCAAATCCATCTTGCAGGAGTTTGAGATGCCAGCCACGGAGACAAACTCGTTTTCACTCGCACTTGAAATCTGCGCTGGCAAAAATTCGGGCATCTGCCTCACCGGAGGCAACTTAATCCGGAACCGATGAATGAATTGCAGTGGCGATATCAAAGAAGTTTTGGTTTGGGGTTCAGGGGTTGACAATGAAAGAGATAGTTGGGAAAAAATGAAAGAAACTACTTCTAGTGGTATCAAATCAAACAAACATTGAATCAATGAACATGTACATCATCTCATGTGGTCGTCACTTTTGGTATCTATGAATCCGCCATCTCATCGTCAGAGTCAACTTCGATCTCCACATCCGAATCCTCGCCTTCTCCCTCTCCTTCAGCTTCACTATCATCGTCCTCTCCAATTTCTTTGTTCATTTCCTGTACAAGCTCCAAGGCATGATCGCGGAGCCGGTCATCCTCGTACTGAAGGACGTCGTAGAGCTTCAAGCTTTGCTTGAGCCACTCACGACTAGCATGTAGTGATGCATGGCGCGGGGACTCGGCGAGCTCATCAGCGGTCGCATCCTTAGGTGCCTGTTGCTTTTCTGCCAGCAGGAAGAGACACCAGCCTCCGAGGTACCAGGCCTCTACACTTTGATCATCCTCTAGAATCAAGCGCTCGAGGACTTCCAGAGCCTCGAACTCCATATTCACTTCCATCAGGAGTCGTGCAAGACTGATGCGCACGGCAAAATCGGGAACTTTGAGATCTTCTGGGGCCAGGTCCTTCCAGAAGCTCATACTGCGAGTTAGCGCGGCTTGCGCATCTTCGGTGCGCAGTTGTGAGATCCGGATGGAGGCAAGGGTCTGTAGTACCTCTGGCGCTTCGGGTGTGACGAGGAGAGCCTCCGTGATAAGTGCTTCACACCGAGCTTCGGCATCCTCTTCCCAGCTGAGCGACTATGTTAGTTGGTCCGCATAAAATCTAGAATATAGAGTAGAGAAACTCACGAAAGATCGGTCATGTAGGTTTCAGCGACGGCGCAGAGTGCGTTAGACAACTTGGCCTTTTTCTGTGTAATATCGGCGACCTGCTCCGGTGATGTTTTCCCCTCAAGGGACTGAATAGTCTGTCTGAGGGACGCCACACCCATCTCGAACCACAGGACGCTATCCTTTCCACCTTGCTCACTCAATTGTGCAAGCCACAGGAATTTCTCAGCTCCTCCGCCCTGAGATTCTGGTATCGAGCCATCTTGATCGAGTTGAACAGCCTGAAGGAAGCAGTTTCTAGCAGTGTCGATGTCGCCTAGTTCAACATTGATTTCTCCAAGCAGGTTAATAGCGGGAAGCTGTGCGGCGGTGTTTTCAGCGGTCAAATCCAGAGCCTGCTGTGCAACCACGAGTGCCTCATCGGCTCTACCAGTTTGTAGGAGGATTGTGGCTTGGTCGAGTAACGTTGAGGGATTTTGAGCCATGTTGCCTTTCGAGATCGAGCCACCAGGGCCGAGGACGGACTTTTCGCGGGGTTTGGATGACTTCTTCTTTTGCGGTCTGGGCTTTCCCATGGCAGGATGCAGCGAAATTCAATAAAAAAAATGGTGATGTCGTTGACGGGAATATCAAGCAGAGTGATTGACAATTGTAACCCGCAGGGTATCTGGGAGAAGTAAAATAAGTGAACCTCCGCCAAAATTTTGGAGCTGTTTGACGGGTTTGCATGTGGGACCGCACCTGGGCAGTATTGTCCCTCCCTAGGTCGTTTCCCTAGTCTCTATGATTTAGGCTCTTTACCGCCTTCGTATATCATCGTAGAGTGATCTATGGATAAGCCGGGCATGTCTACAACATACTTCGTGCTATTATTATTCCCATTCCTGGTGGCACTTCTATAGCTAATGATTATTATCCTTTTAGCTGTAACACCGAGAAAGAAAAATATCTTAAAAAAGACATCTAAAAAGACATCAAAAAGAACATCCAAAAAATAGATTGGAATGTTGTCTTACATATTACCGTGGTTGTCGGCGTGAGACATTGTCACTATTGTGCAATTCCATCGCTATCATTCTAGAGACCACTCGCCTCCTTTGTTTCTCTTTAGGAACTCTCGCATTCACCACTCTCTCATTCACCATGACTCAAACTGGTTTCTTTCCCTTACCGGGCGAGCATATTACCTTTGAGAAGCCCAAGCACACCGAATGGACTATCATCGCCCAGCTCTCCCAGCAAAACCGCCAGAATGAGGAAATCGATGTTCAAGATGGGTATAGACCCTCGTACGCCCTTGCGACCTTCCGCGTCCGCAGCGACTTAGATGGCCAAGACGCCTACATGCGTGTCTACCTCCAAGTTCCCCACAAGGGAACTGACTTCTTCCCACCTAACAAGCGAGCCAAGCAAGCCGCTGCTGGCTATCACCGCGAGGTCGAAGCTATGAAGGCCTTCCACGAACAAGGTTCGACTATTACGCCTGCTCTGCTTGCGATCCAAGAGGATATCCAGGATAAACAGGGGGTTATCCCGGGAGGCTACGTTGTCCATATTGTATTCCAACGTGTCCCTGGAGCTCGTCTCGCTGATAATACAACTGTTCCTGGATATGAACCCACGCTACATAACTTCTTTCAAGTTTTCAGCACGCCCGAGAGAGACCAGATTCGAATGGTCTTTGATAAAGAGTACCGCGAACTGAGGAAGCTGGGATGGTTGCCCTCCTTTCCCTGGGCAACTAACTTGATCTGGGACTCCGATGCCTCGAAATTGCGAGTCTTCTTAATCGTAATTCTAGGCTTGTGGCTGATTGTTGAATTAGGTACTTTGTTGACTTTCGAAGGGCTCACAAGGCAGGATCTCGTGATGAGGATGTTGTTGACAATGGCGAGGAGAAAGAGGAAGTGGAAGAGAAAGAGATGCCCATGTGTGATATTTGGGGTTTCTGGGGCCTCGCTATTGCCCCTAAAAATCGTAAAGATCGAGCAGATCTTTCTAAGTGGAAGCTCTAGCCCTGGAGTCCACTTCCCTGCCTGTGCGACGATGTAGCTCTAGGTCGCTGCAATTTCCAAGGTTTCTTTCATAGCCGATATAATAATTACAAGAGTAGTTGGCCGTGTATGCGATCTCCGTCCTTGCCGACGTAAGGCTTATTAATATTAAATCCCGAGGTCACTGGGGCTGATTTATCTGGCTGAAGATGATGGACGTTACATGTAAGATAACACTCCAATGGATGTCTTTTTGAACATTCTTTTTAGACGTCTTTTTGGATTTTTTTTCCCTGCCCGGGTTAAACCTAGAAGGATAATAGTTAGCTATCAAAATACCACTAGGGGTATAATGGTAGTAAAAAGCATAAAACATAGAGGACCTTTCTATCTATGAACAGGGACAAGGGATTTTACCTCCTAGACACCTATTTCCTCTTATATAGTTAGCTTGGGGTTTCTTCCAAAGTTCTCCTTTGAATATTCAATATTCGTGAGCGGGTCAGGGTGTTGTCGAGGCCACAGGGCTGGAAGCCGGCGAGGATGACGGCGAATTGATATATTCACGTGACCCGGCTCGGCCCCGACGTTTGTTGCGTTGACTTGGTTTGCGCTCCGATCTTTTTTTCTGATTTGGTTAATATTGTGATATCTCAAAGGCTTGCTTAGACAGTATTTCAATCCGTCCCGCTATAACCACTCTCGTCCCCCACACGAGGTGTTCCCCGAAGAATCTGCACCTCCGGCGCTCAAATCGTTACCCCTCCAATCCGCGGGCGGATCAACAGCTATGGGTCGCGAAGACCAGATTGAGGAGCGTGAAGTGCTCGATTCAATCTTCCCAGACGAAATTACCGGTAAGTAATAGACAAGGCCTTTAGACGGCTCAAACTTTCTTTTTATCCTTGCTCACAGCGAGACCCGGCACCTAGACATATCCGAAACCTCGTACCGAGTATCCATAACTCTCGATGCCCTCGAATATGACGGCGATGAAACAGAACAACCTGTGATATGCCTGGAAGTCGCCTACCCGGAAGAATACCCCGATGTTGGCCCAAATCTCGGCATTTCCTCTCCGCCAAATGCAGTGAAGCATCCTCGGCTAGATGTCCAGGAAGACCGGGACCTACTGATGGAGTCTCTTCAGCCCACTATTGAAGAGAACCTGGGTATGCCGATGATATTCACACTGGTCAGCGCACTTAAGGAAAGCGCAGAGCTTCTTATGTCCGAGCGAGCAGACGCCATTCAAGCCGAGATGGACCAAGTCGCTGCGAAGAGAGAGGAGGAGGAGAACCGCAAATTCCATGGCACAGCAGTCACTGTCAAGTCATTCTTGGAGTGGAGTGCCAAGTTTAAGAAGGAGCAGGAGGACGAGGAGCTTCGGGTACGCGAAGAAAAGGAATCGGAGGACAAGAAGAAAAAGGCCACAAAAGAGGAGAAAAAGCTCACTGGCCGACAATTATGGGAGAAGGGTTTGGCCAAGGGTGATTATGACGAGGAAGAGGAGGATGCCTTGCCAGCCGTTGATAAGCTCAAAGTGGCTGCATGAGCTGATACATAGAAATGTTAATGACCTCCCATTACTTCATGAAATTATGTATTATAGCCTTGTTGAATGGGTATGATTATACTGAGCAATCAGTGAACTGGTATCAAGGGTAGGCGGAGTAATGTACAGATCTGAAAGTCCACATGGACTTAGGTTATGGTACAGGGAAAGATAATGCTCAATCAGTAGACAAAAAAGGCTCGAAAGGGAGGTGCTGTCTTGGTTTGAGCTGCCTGCTGGAGCCAAGTGACTTCGGCATGCTAGCAGTCCATGGTGCCCATTGATAGGATATGATCAAGAAAGGACATACCTGCCCAGGTCGGCATGGATAATGTACCATGCCTTGAATACTTCGAGCAACCGACCTTTGTGTTCTGATCTTGGGCGATATTGACAATGGCATAGCCATAGACGTAGGTGGCTCTGATGTGGCCAGACATGGACCCAGGCTATAACGGCCTCGTATCGTATGCCTTGAGGAACATCTGTCTGGCCGAAGAGCTAGGGAAATGTACTTTGAAATGGCAACGAAACATGCGCGGTAAGGCAGACCACTCTGGTTCATTGCTTTGGCTGCTTTTGGCTAGCTTCTTCTTCCGCCAAAGCCTTTTCAGCTAGAACAATCTTCCACATGTTATCTGCAAGCTCTTTGGCATGCATATCGAAGTGTGCGATTTTCGTATTGACATCGACAATGGCATTAGCAGGATGCTCAGACCAGGTGGATGGCTCCTGAATTCTGGTGATGCGATCCCATTCCTCTTCGTCCTTGGCGAAAAGTAGTTCTATTTTCAACCTGTCTCGACGTTCAATCCAGTTCCAGCGATTCCCAAGTTTTGTTCGTATCACACTGCTAACGTTTCTCGGCTGCGGCTTTTTATAGCGCAAGAATGGAAGTCCGCGCGCATTGACAAGTACAGGGACATTGCGCTTCTTGTCACCCAACGGATGGGGTCGGTTTAGGATCGAGGTGGCGTTCGGATGTCGCTGATTTGTTTCCTCCTGGAAGCGGATTGAGTTTTCTTTTCGGGATTGCTTGGGCGTAAGGGCTTTGGCAGGTGGCGCTACTGGCCGAATTTTCCTTTGCATCGCAGCATAGTTATCTTTTTGTGCCCTGGCTTTGGATATGAGTGTTGTAATTCGGTGTGCATCATGCTGATTGGTATGCGACGAAGAGAGGAGATCTAGAGCCTGTCATACAGCGAGAAAATATCAACATACGCTCAGCCTAGACAAAGATTCGATGAGCATACCTCATAGCCTGCCTTCAAGGCATTTGCTGTTTGCGATGGGCTTTGTAGTTTCTTATATTTTCGGAAATTCTGTCGAATGAGGGGTTTGATCTCACCCAGCCACGGAGTGTTTACAGTTGAAGGACGGCATTGTCGGAGAAGTGCTCGATAAAGTGCCAAACCTATCGGAGACAGATTGTCAGCTGGAAGGACTGGAAACAGAGGAATTCATCTCTCACAAGCAAAACGATGAGCTCCACTATGCTTAGGCACCAGCACTTTATGCATTCTCCAGTGTTGAATGGTTATCACAATAATGAAGCCAACCTTGGAAAGCCAAACAACCATCTGGATATATCTTATCTCGACCATGGACACCGCCCGTTTACCGCCTACTGTAAATAGATTAGCGCACCGCATTACATATTTCGGTCGGCGTCCCAATCAGGTTAGCTTATTATGCCAGGGGTACCGCCTTTGGTCGAAGTCACCTGACCACAAATTTCTATATATACCCAGCCGTGCCCACAGAACTTCCTTCTCTTTTCTTTCTTCTTCAGCTCTCTTTGCCAATTGGCTTAGATCAAGTGTAGTATCTGTTCTTTTCAGTTTAATCTCTGAAAGTTTCCGTCCAGGAAACACTTTGATTATTCCTATTTTTGGATCATGCGACTTGGCCCCTGTGCTTGCGCATGCCTCGTTGCACTGTGTCATTGGGCTTACACTACCCCCGATCGACGCGAACTCCTTTTTCATCAATTGTTCGGCTTGTCCGGGCGCTTGGAGAAGAATCTTTCCTGTAGATGTAAATGTTGTTCCCTATGCTGTGTCTGTTGTCAACATCTTGTCTTCTTGTCGCACTGTCCACCCCCTGGTGTGTCCGTCTGTCTCCCCGTGTGGCTCTTTGGCTCTTGTATGGTCTTATCCCGAGTACTGACTTGCTGGATGGCTTTGATGCCCTCAGTGACTCTGACCTCTCTCTGACTTCCAAGGTTCTCCCTCAAGGGCTGGTCCCCTTGACGCCTTCCCTTGTCCCTATGTTCACCATACTGTTCCACAACCTTTGGTTGCTCCATGCTAGACAACTAGAACTTGCGCATGCGCATGGAAATACAATCATGGGCTAAGTGAATCATTCTACGTTGTCACACGATAAAAGAATATCATTTGTTTTTTGTTGTTGGTAAACAGGCGCCTGCCGCAATGCCCAGTTCCACGAAACAAAACACTTCAGAGATGAATACCTAATGTAGGGATGAAAATTGAAAGTTGGGGCCCAAAATAACCCCTGCCGATGCTTTCATGCAGAGACTGTACACGCTCTAGGGTCATAGAAAACGAGAAGAAGCCAGGAAATTTAAATGAAGCCGACCCTGATACTCCGAGATCCGCCTGCACTGAGTGGGTCACATATGCTGGACTAGAAAGTCGAGCCCTCCGGGGGCTGCGGTAGCTTCTTATGCTGGGGCAAGGCCATGTACCTGAAACAAAGTGTCAACACCAACCATCGATCTTGTGCCATACTTTGTGCTCACCTTCTTAACTCAATCAGAACTGTCTCCATGGTGTTGTCTCGTTTCCACTGCGCAAGGGTTGGAAGCTTCGACGGATCAACCTGTAGTACAATCACTCAGTAATGGCTTCATGTTTTGGTACCCTCTCTTCATACCTTTCCAGAGCTGGGATCAACACAGGGGATGTTGACTCGAGAAACGAATTGAATGGTAGGCGGGTTATCGGGGTAGTCAGGTCCGCAGTGAATGTTCACACTGTATATCCGGTTCTCATGAACGCTCTGAAAGATGGCAGATTAGCGATAGTTTCATGGTGACGTGGAGTAGAGCCAGAAACTAACGTGAGGCGGGCCAAGAATGGTTCCATTCCAGTTGCTCATCATCATATCCTCCCCATCAGCAAGTCCGTACGAGCAGGCGTCTAAGAAGAAGTAAGATACGTCAGTGATCTGAGATCGGACATTGTCGGAGATCGTGGGGTCAATCGTACCTGCACTCAGACCCTTCTCGCCCTTCTCGAGCTCCTCCAGGAGTCGAAAGTTTCTTGGGACCTTAGCAGCCATGTTGAGCACCGAGTAGTGGTTTCAGAGGCTGGAAATATCTCGACAAGTGTGAGCAGATACCAAAGAGGGATGTTGCGATAAGAGGGGCAATGCGCTGGGCGGTCAAGTTGGAGCACAGTCACGTGCGATACGGCTTATCGATGGCTTGGCACCTGTTGGAGATGCCACGCCTTGTTGAAGCCATCGTGGAATCGTTGTAATAGCAGAATCGTTGTCATTGTTCTCTTGCTGCTCACATGAACTTGATCTCAAAGCTTCAAATTTGCATCTAGTCTGGTGTGGAAACACCCATCCATTCATCTGCGATCGAGAGCTGCCTGTACTGTTGACATCGGGACCTCGGGCATTAGCCTGTGCTGGCCATGCTTTGATATAACAAACCTATACCAGAAATGTCCTCCCAATTCTTGCAGACGGAGATCGCCAATTTGATTCATGAGTCTCGAAGGAAAAACTCCGATTTGCGAAATGTTGGTTATCACTCTCTAGGCATCATCGGCCATGGCACACTAACGAGGAATTGACAGGCCGCTGAACAATCGTTGAATGAGCTCAAGGCACTGCCCTCAACTTCCGAGGCTCAGATAGCAGCGGGTAAGTTCTTACATGGCAACCCTTTGTCGTTCCCAACCGCTAAATCGCCATTAGACCTTGTTCGCAAACCGAATTTCGCCGAGCCATTCATCATTGCATGCCATACTCGGCATGCGAAGCTGGCCGGTATTGGTGTGATCTGTTTACAGAGACTAATTGCATCTCGGTCATTACCCTCGAGTCGTTTGAAAGATGTCCTTTCGGGTCTGAAGGAGACAACGAGCTTGAGTAAATGGCCAAACAAACCAACACCTTTAAATTGCGCTAACGCTTTCTAGGCCTTGATATTCAGCTGAAAATTCTACAATCTCTGCCTTCGCTTTTGCAGTTTTATTCCAATGAATTGAGCGGGGAGCTTCTTGCGAACACGTTGGAAATATGCGCCACATTACAGGCAAGCAAAACGATTGCAGTCTCTAGTACTGCCGCGGCTACTCTCCAACAGCTGGTGGTATCGACTTTTGAAAGAGTTTCAAGTGAAGACAACCTTCCCAAAGATGCCAAAATCACCACAACCATCAAAATCGATGGTCAGTCGCTCGACATCGGCTACTTCGCTTATGATGCACTGCAAGTATTGGATGATCTCTGTCGTCTGATCGATGGTGAGCCACTACAATTTCTGCGAACACGAACCCTATCGCCGACTTTTGTGCTCGAACTTATTGAGAGTATTCTCCTGAATAGCGGCCGTCTTTTTGTGGGACATCCCGAACTTTCGCAAGTGCTGCGCGTTCGGTTGTTACCACTGGCCGTCCGTTGTCTATCCGAGAGGTATTCATTCGCTCAAACTGTTCGAGTCGCTCGAATTCTTCTCATTCTTCTGAAGCGTCATATGTCTCTCTTGACTACAGAATGCGAGATGGCATTGAGTCTGATAACCCATCTCGTTGAACCGGATGGAACAGCGCCTTGGAAGCGACTACTCTGCATGGAGGTTTTCAGAGGGTTATACTCCGAGCCAGGTACTGTGCGGCTGATCTATACATTGTATGACGGCGAGGAAGGCAGAAAGAACATCCTCCGCGACCACATGGCTGCCCTTGTTCGGCTAGCTTCAGAGAAGCCTTTGTTGATTGGCGTCAGCAATCAATCAACAGTACCTTCACGCGCGGACCACTCAAGATCCACCACAGAGGACCAAATCACTCTTGAAACCGGCGGTGTTGCTGGTGTTATTGGGTCAACTGTTCCTCCAAGTGAAACCAAGGTACCTGGAATCAGCACTCAGTGGAGTGTTGTTCGTACGCCATATATCGATCTCCTCGACAAGACAGATCCGCCCACACCGCCGGACACTTACATTTACAGCCTTGTTCTTAATTGTATCAGCAGCTTTGCTGAAGGGCTCGCGAAATTCATTCTTCCATTAACGGTCCCGGATCTAAAGCAAAGACGCAAGAATCGACTTATGAGCCCCGTCCAGGGACCCGACTCCGCCAGATCTTCCCAGGATTTTACAGCAGAACCCATTCGAGTGCAGTCTAGCTCGTCATCAAAAAAATCACATGTGCCCATCAATCCTCTGGACCTGCAGTCTCATGTACAATACTCTGCCATCAAGACTTGTGCGGGGATAATAGAGAACTGTTGGCCTGCTGTCCTAGCAGCTTGTTCCACCTTTTTGCGCGCATCCTTAGATGACGAGTATTACCACAATCTCGTTCGAGCATTCCAAAAGTTAGCTCATGTGGCGGGTCTTCTGAGATTGTCTGTTCCCCGAGATGCTTTCTTAACAACTCTTGGAAAGGCTGCCACGCCTGCGAGTGGGGGTAGTGCCAAGTCACACAATGTGTCTGCCACTGGCTCCCAGCAAAGTGACACACTCCAAAAGAAACGGAGAAGTGCGGATCTGTCAAATTCCAGTTCTTTATCAATGGAGTCTGCAGGAACAACCGCGGGAGAAGGGCCTCCCGTGTCTTTAAGCACAAGGAACTTACTTTGTATGCGGGCTTTGCTCAACCTCGGAATTGCTTTGGGGCCGACATTGGATCAGCCGGCCTGGTCCATCCTTTTTGAAACACTTCAATATACTGGACTGGTGATTGGCATGTCCTCAAGTGCGATGGTTAAATCGGCTAGTGGGACTGGGGAGACTTCAGTCACCCCAGGTAACGATGTTCCCACTGCTAATCTTGGGACCGAAGTGATTGCGGTCCAGGCGGCTTCTAACAAAATGCTTGAAAGCACTAGCGATTTCCCAAGTGCATCCTTTGAGGAAATGTTACTTGCCTTGTTGAATCTGTCAACATTTACGGAGCAACGTCGCAACCAGGGTGATGCTCAGGAAGTATCAGAAATGCCCCGAACGCCGCAATCCTCCCAAGGAAGTGGACGCTTGCACCAAGGTTCCCGGCGCGTATCGCATACCGTCGGAAAATCAAGAATGCAAGACGAGGAACTCAAATTTGTACTGGAGAAAGGAAACGAACTAGCCAAGGCAAACCTTGGGAGACTGTCTTCGCTCGAAGAAGATGACAGCAAAGCATGGGAGCTACTGACGCAAAGCCTCATCTCAACTTCCGCAAATACTACTGTCAGTCCGAATCTTCGCCTGCAGGCAAGCGCAATTTTGAATTCACTCGTATTCTCAACAATGAAACAAAGGGACGAAGACGACGAGAAAGTCTACAATCAAGTGCAGACGAGGAATCTGCAGACATTGAAAGCCCAGGTGGCCTCGCTCTATGCATCGGACATGCACACCTCCAAGTCTTTACCGATAACCGTGATCGAAATCCACGAACAGACCTTGGAAGTGTTAGATAACATTCTGGAACAGTATGCAGAAACTTTCGTGGACGGATGGCACCTCATATTTGATCTAATATCTGGTGTTTTCCAACTTGCCCCAGATTCTGGAACTGGCGACCGGCCTTCCACTCTGATAGAGCGCAGATCATCGGTCCTTCCAGCAGGCCCTCGTTTGGTACGTGCTGCGTATAAGTCTTTGCATCTTGTTGCATCTGACTTCCTTTCTCTGCTACCAGCACCCTGTCTCCTGAGCTTGGTGAATGCCTTCTCTAGCTTTACGTCGCAAACCCAAGATTTCAACATCTCCCTCACCACCACCTCGTTTTTCTGGAACGTTTCCGACTTTCTCCAAGGCCAGATTGAGCAGATCTCACTTAGCCATGTTGATTCATCCGTCAGCGAAGAAGATCTAGCTAAATTGGCTCATGACGAAGACCCTTCTGTTTCTCGGAACTCGTTGTGGCTGCTGCTGTTGCTTCGCATCGTTGATATCACGACAGACAGTCGACCTGAGATTCGAAATAGCGCAGTCCATACGCTTCTGCGCATTTTCGACGCCTACGGGCAGCAGCTTTCCCCTAAAGCGTGGCGTCTGTGCCTAAACATGGTCCTCTTTAAGATGACCGAGGGGATTGAGACCCCTCTGCTCCA